TTTTTTTTTTTTTTTTTATTTGAATTTTATGTTTATCAATTTTTAAATAAAGATAAATTTATATATTCACATGTTAAAAAAAATAAGCAGTCTTAATCATTTAGTATCCAGATCTTAACACACATCTTGATATTCAGATGCATATTCAGATTCAGACGTCTTAATCTTAGAAAAAACAAATGAGGCCTTAGACACATAAAGAAAAAATTACCTAATATTCTTTACTCCCTCCGGTATATTTTAATTTATTTTTTTAGTTTTTTTACTCATATTAAGGAATCAATCTTTTAACATTAATTAATAATAAAATTGACCATATTAACCTTAATTTGGTCATGGGTAATATAACAACTACTCCTATGCTCCTTACTCCAAGGGCAACTTTGAAAAAAGAAAATTAATTCCTAATTCTTGATATTTGAAAAAATCAAATATAATGAACAAAAAGAAACCAAAAAATTAATTAAAATAGGCCGGATAAAATATCTCGGTTAATTTGAATTTAAAATCTCATAATTCTACTTCTCTTTTTGGTTTGCATTGAATGAGTATTTTTCCTTGGATAAGATATTGTAAAGCATTTTTTGTAAAGAAATATTTTCCTTGGTAAGATGTTTTAATAATTAAAGGTATCTAGACATGAAAGTCATTTCCTAAAGATATTAGTCTACCCGTCTTCATTTATGTTGCTTTTTTACAAAAAAAATAATTATACCTTTCTATATTTAAAAATAAATTCATTTTAAATTTTCTATTTTGCTTTAAACTTCATATCAAGTCAAACACTCTCAATAAATCGAGATGGGATTTTTTCACACTAAATATAGTGAAAAGGCTTAAAAATATGAAATAAAAATTCATCACAAAAATTCAAAATAAAAGTTGGGGGTTTTATTTATATAATTTGGCTTTCACGGTGGTAACAAACAACAATACTATCTCTAATTAATAAGTATATTTGACTTTTAATGCAATTTTTGCACACCTCTTAAATTCGATATTTAACAGCATTAGTCGTTGAATATGTAACACCTCATATCTTCATACGTGAGAGTACGCCGTAGGTGAATTGATATATACTCAGAAATGAGATCATCTTTGAAATTACATCAAGTAAGTTAATTATGTTACCTTGGGGTTACAAATATTTAAGATCATGAATAACAAGAACCAAGATGATTGAAAGTCTTAGAAGCTAAACGAATCAAAAAAAATAAGTTTAGTCGAAAGTCGACAAATTTGAAATGTTATAACATGCACTTTAGGGATGAGAGTAGGGTTCTTAACATGATATGGAGGTTATGTTATGAGTTATTTTAGTCGTATGGTAATCGTGTGTTACGTTTTGAAGTCAAGCGAGTTGTGCAACAAAAGTGGCATAGGTCATCACAAGTTACATTCATAAATGTGCTGAAAATTAAGTCAAATGTAGCTGAACTTTTCTCCCAATATACTTGGAATTATAGGATGATCCACATATCAAATTGAATTTCTACGAGTCTTGTTTCCAACGCATTAAACCGTTTGTCGATACGACATTGGAGTAGAGAGATATTCACGTTTTCGCGAGACTGCGCAAGCAGCACCCTTGGGACCCACAAAGTCGGTGGAAAACTCCAGCTCTTATTTATTTCAATCTCGTTTTAACTCATTTTTCTCGACCAAAACAGTTCCTAAACCCTCATAGTTTCTCTCCTAGCAGTCTCCATGATTCTAGAGTGAAAACAAAGATAAAAACATGAATTCAACGCTAGAAATCCCGTGGTGCTTGCTAGATCGTAGTTCTTCATCTTGTGTTTGTTTTGGAGGGTTCTTCAAAAAGGTAAGTAACCTCAGATTTCGTCTTGTTCTTGTTGTAAAAGTGAAGAATCATTCCCCCCCTCCCCCCTCCCTTCATCTATATTAGAGTTTCAAGGTGAAATACAAGTGTTTACACACCAACTTAAGCATAAAAGTTGATTCAAGAAAAAAAATACAACTCCTATAATGAGTGTTGTTGTGAGCTACACCAGCTGGGGATTTCGAGTTGTATCTACTGCCTAAGGTATGTAAATCATGTTCTTTGTTGTGTTTAAGGTAATCATGTGTTGGTTTAGTTGTTTGAGTGAAACTCTACACGATAGTAACTGACATGGCATAAGGAATCGTTATCTTTTTTTGTGGGCTGTGTTAAGGCTATATATATAGTTTGATGTGGCTGGAAATTGTTATAAATAGCTTGATTATGTTATGAATGCTATTGTTAACCTTATCTATGTGCAAACTAAGTTTATTTAAGAAGATAACATGAAAAACAAGATGTTGACGATAAAGGTTAAGGTGCTAGGCGTGTGGACTATATTTGAAGATTATTCTTATAATGTTTCAGGCTGATAAAGATATGGTAAGCATAAGTATGATGCTATAGATGTTGTAGGCAGATTCATGGAAAATGAATTGGATTCAAACCATATTTTGTTTATCGTAAATTGAGCTTTCCGCTCAAAATAGTTGTTGAAGTAATCAGAGAGCTTATTGTGAATTATATTGTTGTTGTTTGGGCTGTTTGGTGACTTTTAATAGTTTATGGGATGTAGTACAAATAGGGGTGGTGTTGCCCGTTTTCTTGTAGAATATTATTTTCCAAATGAGAGTTACAACGTTAATATGATAATGACAAAGTCGGTTTACTCATTGTAGATGTAAGAAGATCATATTGAGCTTGGTTGACAATTGGATAGAAGATTTCAAAGGTATGTTAAGGCACTTCCTTCTTTCTTTTAGCATGATGTTAAGTGAAACGAACATAAGCGATATGCTATTTCATAACGGATCTACTCCTAGCAACTAAGGTTGTCCATTCTGTTCTTTCCTTATAAAGTTATTCTAAGAAAGTATGTATGATCATTGCTATTGAGGTTCATATTGAATGGTATTGATGTCAATAATGTTAATCGAGGGTGTGACGACCTTACGTTACTACGCAAGGTTTAGAATGTGATTCCATGAGTCCCGCATGCATAATATATATGTATCTATTTTACTCCACCGAGCTACTCTATAGTCGGCCGGGTACGACACTATTGTGCAACCACAGATCAGTTGGGTTATGCCGAGCTCCATGTGGTCGGGTACGATTCTACCGAGCTTATGATGGCCGGCTACGTTTTTACCGAGTCCTTTTTGAGGCCGGGTACGATATGATGATGATGATGCCCATAGAGGCATATGTTCTTAAAAGTATATGTATACATTTATGTACCATGAATTTCATGTTAGTCTCCCTCAGAGGCACTCAGATGTTATAGGTTGTATCTTCTCTATCTATCTTTACAATATTATTCTTATTCATGATTTCCTGCCTTACATACTCAGTACTTTATTTGTACTGACGTCCATTTCGCCTGGGGACAATGCGTTTTATGCCCGCAGGTCCGGTAGACAGTTGACAGTCCTCCTAGTAGGCTATCATCTTAGCGGAAGGTGTTGGCGCACTCCACTTGGTCCGCAGTTGCCTATTTGGTCAGTATGCTTTAGACATGTATTGATTGGTATGGCGGGGCCCTATCCCAACCTTTATGATGTTTATGTACTCTTAGAGGCTTGTAAATGAATGTCATGTATATGGATACTTGTATGGCCTTGTCGGCCTATGATTTGAGTGTACAAGTGATCATGACGGCCTTATAGGCCCGTATGTCACATGTATAAGTTTGTGTATCATGTTGGGTCTTCTTATGTCGAGTATTCCCTTATGATTTATTCTTTTTATGTCGAGTATTCCCTTATGATTTATTATTTTTATGTCGAGTATTCCCTTATGATTTATTCTTTTTATCTCATGATGTCCCTTCTGGGCCATTTATGCATAATGGTATGATTAGAAAGATACATTATGTTGGTACTCGATTGAGTAAGGCACCCGGTGCCCGTCGCGGCCCTCCAATTTGGGTTGTGCCAAACTTGGTATCAGAGCAATTCTGTCCTAGGGAGTCTACAAGCCTTGTCTAGTAGAGTCTTGTTTATGGGTGTGTTGTGCACCACACTTATAAGTAGGAGGCCACATGGCATTTAAGACTGTCACTCTTTCTTCTTACTCTAGATCGTGTGGTACATCTCA